AACCTGGAATTTGTATTATATAGCTTTCACGAATTTTTTTATGGTATTTTAGGTATTCGCGACCTAAGAAAATTAAAATATTCACCCATAATAAAATCTTATTTAATAATAGAATAAAAATTCCATTATATTACAGAAATGAATTTAATACTGAAAAAATTAAAATACCTGCCCTTACCTCTATCCTAAAAAAAATAAATAATAATAATAATAAATAAAATAAATATTCACCCATAATAAAATCTTATTTAATAATAGAATAAAAATTCCATTATATTACAGAAATGAATTTAATACTCAAAAAATTAAAATACCTGCCCTTACCTCTATCCTAAAAAAAAATAAAATAATCTTCCAGATTGTGAAATATTTCTACCAGAACTAATTAATAATTCAGTTACCATTCCAGAATCCCTTTTAAAAATTGAAAATGGTCTAACCACACTAGAATTTAATAACCCAACTTCACAAGATATATTAATAACTATAGACGATAATTTATTAAGGCCTTACCCCAATCTTTATAATGAAGACTTTTACAAATATTTACTTTTAATTTAAACCCACAGCCTGAAAATAACGAATTTGACTTTTCTCTCATACGCACTTATTATATGAATTCCGAAGAAAAAAACGCGATTAAAAATCTTTTAGTAAAATATTAAAGTATTCTTCACCAACCCGACCAAAAATTAACTTACAAATATAATTAAGCATAAAATTAAAACAAAAGACGACATTCCCGTTTACTCTAAATCATATAGATATCCCCACGTACATAAAACCGAAGTTCAGAAACAAATTTCAAAAATGTTAGAAGACGGCAAAAAAATTAGATGCGAACAGCAAACAAAAATGGAGAATCGTTGTTGACTACTGTAAAATTAATGAAATGACAGGTACCCCCTACCAAACATCACAGACATCTTAGACAAATTAGGTAGATACCAATATTTTACAATCCCTACTAGAGCCTTTAACGTCGAAAACGGACATTACGAATACGTTTGAATGCCAATTGGACTTAAAAATGCCCCTGCCAGTTTCCAAAGAGTTATGGACGATGTCCTTAAAGACCTTCAAGGTAAAATTTGTCTTATATATATGGACGACATTATTATCTTCTCTACCTCTCTACAAAAACACATAAATAATTTAAAACAAGTCTTTCAACGTCTACAAGAAGCCGGTTTAAAAATCCAACTTGATAAATCCGAATTTCTATGCAAATCCATAGAATTTCTAGGTCACATCATTACACCTAAAGATATAAAACCAAACCCTAAAAAACTCAAAGCTATTGAATACTTTCCCATCCCCAAGACACCTAAAGAAATAAAATCATTTTCGGACTAGTAGGTTACTATCGAAAATTCATTAAAATTTTCGCAAAATTAACTAAACCCCTTACAAATTGTCTAAAGAAAAATCAAAATATTGAGCATACCCCTGAATTCGTAAATTCCTTTAACCCTTATCGCACTGTTTTCTGAAACGCCATTAGTCGCTTCGGTGTTTGAGACCGAAAGTTAAAAATTACGTTTATTAAATATCTTGTGTGTATATTTAAATTTAAAAAAAACACTATGTTAATATGCTTAAAAGTAATGTTTTTAATAAACAAACATAACAAAATATCAATTTAAGAACAAAAAATTAGTATAATTCATCAGAACAAATATTTTTTTCTGACTCGCTATTTTCATGCCTTTCCTTTACGAAATCTTCTTCGTCGTTGTCTTCATCGTCATTAAAATTACTTTCATATTCAGAATCTTTGTCTTCCATTAGTTTTTAAAGTAGTTATTGGTCGGCTATGGAAGAATACATAGTTACCGAAATAAATTCTGGAAGCCGCTAAATCACACCCATGCGCCAAGGCTTTCAGACTGAAGTTCGAAAGGCTAATGTAGGAAAATACCTAGGAGGAGATAGCGTAAAGTCGATGCGCTAAAGAAGTACGTTAAAAAATTTAAAGCGTCGATCTCACACACCGGGTGCGACTAATCAAGGGTTAATACTTATTGAAAAATCCTTTTGAACGAAGCCATACTTCAATACCCGGATTTCTCTAAAACATTTAGTTTAACTAGAGACGCCTTAAATTTCGAAATAGGAGCAGTTCTATCCCAAGGGTCCCATAGGAAGTGATCTACTAGTAGCCTATGCCTCTAGGACTCTTAACCCCGCAGAAACAAATTATAGCACAATCAAGAAAGAACTTTTAGAACATTAAATATTTTCGTCCTTATTTATTTGGAGTAAAATTTAAAATAATTAGCGATCACTAACCCCTTTAATGGTTATTTTCTCTTAAAGATCCCAATTCTAAACTAGTTCGTTGGCGCTTAAAATTAGAAGAATATGATTATGATTTAATCTATAAAAAAGGCAAAATGAACACTAACGCCGACGCACTTTCTCGTATTGAATTAAACGCATTAGAATCCAATGACCAAAATGATTTAGACAATATTTTAGACGACCTAGATAACATTTCGCTACTAAACAACCCTGACGAAAACATTGAATATCCAAATCCCGAAATAGAAGAAATTGAAAATTTAATAAAAATTCATGCAGAAAATTTTGAGTCATCAAAAGACTAAAAAATAATTATTCACAGTAATATACTATTAAACATTAATCCCTCTACCGATAACGAAACAGTTCATTCAAGTCACGAAGATCACAAAAACCAAATTATAATTTCAAGTAAAAATATAACCGAAAATAATTATATAGAGAAAAAATATTTGATAAAAACTGAATTCATCTAACTATTCCTAAAGATAATAACGAAAAATTACTAACTAATTAAATTAATTTATTAAAGAAGCTATGGCACCAAAAAAATCATATTGTCTTTACTTTAAAGACAAATCACTCGAACCCCAGTTTATCACAACCATTCAAAAATATTTTAAAAACAACGCATTTGTATTAACAATTTCAAACACCTTCCTAACAGACGTAACAATGGAAGACGAACAAAAACTAAAGTTACAACAATACAATGAAACAAAAACCCCGTGGAATTCAAGAAAAAAATAATGCAATTAAAAAATCATTTTATTGGCTCAAAATAGATCAAGATGTTCGCGATTACGTAAATTCATGTGAAATATGCCAAAAGACAAAATACGAAAGACATCAAAATAAATTAATTTTCAAACCAACCCCGTTCGGTTAAGACCCTTTTGATCATTTATACGCAGATACTTATAAAACACACGGACAGTATTGTTACCATAATTGACAGTTTTTCAAAATTCGGACAAGCTTATCCAATTAAATTCCCTTGTGCAATAGAAATTGCTAATAAACCAGTAAAATTTTTTAATCACTTCCGTCTTCCAAGACTACTACCGACAACGGACATGAATGGAAAAACAAAATTATTCAAAATATTTGCAAAAGACATGAAATAGAAATTCATTTACAAGTCTTCATAATCAAAACAGTAACAGCCTTGTGGAAAGATTTCACTCGGCGATAGCAGAAACAATATTAACCTTAAAAAACTCTAAACCTATCGAAACAATAGAAACCTATATTAATATATGCAAGATCACACAGATAACTTAAAAACACTTAATGAATTAATTCGCGAAAAATTAAAAAACAATAAAGTCAAGAATTTAAGCAAAATAGAATGGAAAATATAGAAATAGACCCCACTAAAGCTTTATATAAAATTAAAAAAGTTAATGCTTCACAAAAGAAAATATCAAATCATTACGATAAAGTTGAAAACCCTACGGTTCTTGACAACATTAAAAACTAAAAATAAGACTTATCACAAAAAATTACTTAGAACACAACGTATTGTTTCAGGTCAGAATGCACCTGTGCCTTATCCTTTACGCTCTAGGATTAGTCCAGACGCTAGAAATAAATGAAATAAAAAACCCAATATCTAAAATAATAACTAATAAGCATACCATTTAAACCTTACTAACTAAAAACTAATAAAACGCAATGTCATTAACCGACATAATTAGAAATAAAATTAAAATATTTACTCTTAACAATATATTTAAAAGTAAAGTACAAATGGCTATTTGGCACATTAGATTCTAAAGATAAAAAATTCATCTCAAATTATTTACAAAATTTGGATGTGAATGAACAAAAAATTTATAATAAATAATAATAATTATGATAATAAATAATAATGATTATGATTATAATCAACAAACTGTTCTCAAACAGATTTCGAATACGTATACGTATACGCTATATATAGCTCTCACTTTAAAGAATTAAATAATAATCAAATCATCCTAGAAAACCAAGTTAAATATCTGTCAAAAGAAGAATGGATTTATACATTTAGAACAAGCTTTTTTCTTTTCAAATATCATAGATAATTTACTAATGAAACTTCACTCTATTTAGTATATAGTTAATAATAACTTGGAAATTGCAATCTCCTTTGCTAGATTGAACACTCTTCATAACTCAGTTATCAATCCATAACAATTAAAATTACTAATTAATAAACTTAAAAATATTTATCGACCAGAACAAATACCTAAGTTAAAAGAATTGTTAAATTACTATTATATATTCTCGGTTCAAGTAATTGTTCAAGAAAAATTAATTTTATTTAAAATTCACATACCCATTGTATCTTCCCAGTTTAAATTATTCCGCCTCTATCCTATCCCACACTATCCCACACACAAATACGACCATTATTCCTGAACAACCTTATCTTTTGCTCAATACAAAAGACTTTTGGACAACATCGCAACAATGACCTGAAGTAGAAAATTGGTATTTCTGTCGCCAAAACGATCTGCACAAACACCAACCATGCCTCGCAGACCTCATCAGAAACGGCAAAATCCACTGCCAAAATACAAACATTCATTATTCCGAAACAAGCATAACCCACATCAGATGTACTTATCATCCCTGCAAGAAATACGAAAATCGAATCATCATGTGACATCGAAGGCATCTACGAAACATCCAAACCAAGCATTTTGTCAATGAAAAAATGCAAAATTTCAATAAATGGAAAACTTTTCCAAGCTGAAGACACCAACCATGAAGAATTCATCTTTGAATTACACAAAATAGAACTCCCGCACATAGGATTCAACACAACGAACAAAACCTTCTACCTACAGCAAATAACAAGTGAAGACATCGATCATATCAACAGAATTGCAAATAATTTACAAATCCCTGATTTAAATAACAGTTCAAGTACAAGTCACCCATGGATCAACACTTTCCTATTTATAATAGCAGTCTTCAGTACATCTTGTGCTACATTAAGATCTACAAACCCCGACGTCACCAAAGAAATTTGAAACCACCCACAACTTCGCAGAAAATAATGGATCCCTTATTTTCCGATTTAGGAAGGAAGGAGTTATGTACTTAAAATACTCTAAGATAATTCTTTTACTAGTATTTCCTAAGGTAATTAAATTAATTGTTATCAGTGATAACTTATCACTTCCTAACAAAATTTATGTATCCCTTGATGGACGATTTTTGTATAAAAATTAAATGCACTCTTGTTAGTTTACTTAAAATCTCTGCTAGTGCAGGTTATAGTAACTCTAATTTCCATTAAATAGTTTTTAAAAACAAGTTTTCATTACTGCAAAACATGATTCAAATTCAGCTAAGGAAGATGTTTTTTCTTGTTTCAAGACTTCGTTACGATGTTCTTAGCGTCGAACATTGATACGTCTGTCCCACGTAGCATCCGTCACAATTCTTACAAGGAATTTTGTACACCCCTTGTGCCTCCAATACTATTTTAAGTTTGGCGTTTGGAAGTTTGCAGAACGATATGGCGGACATTGATGAAGAAAACTTGATTTTGGTAGTAAACAAACGTCCCTTACTTTGGTACTAATCATTAAAACATTATCACACACTGCAGTATGTATTTTATAAAATTTACAAAAGTAAAAATTTCCGTTGTCTCTCTGACGTTTATTTATTATATTCTTGCCAAACTAATTATTTAAAATGTATTATTATCTTAAACTAAATTCTTGCTTCATCCAGCGTTAAGTAAGAACACTTTCTTAAAATGAGTCGCTCGCATCCGCCTGTAGCCGCTCGCGCCTGCTTTTGTCGCTATCACTAAGGACCTGGCATAATGTTGTCCTTATATTGTGGTATTAATCGCAGATAGTGCTTTTTTCATCCCAAATAAATAAATTTGATCCTTGGGGTAAAAGAGGACACAAGAGTCGTTTGGAAACTCCAGCTTATAAGGTTTCTATAAAGACGCGAATCCATCAAAATTTTGAATACTAAAAATAATCCCTTACATTACATCTGCAACCTAGGCCACGTACTACTATAGATAGATGCATATTTTGCCCCAAAAGCAAAGATCGAAAATTCATGGTCTACCGAACATAATATCCATTTGTTTGCAGCATAAAGAATTGTCCAATTTGGGAAAATAAGTGTAAAACGAGTCCGTTGATAGCGCAGTGGTTTAAGCTACTAAGGGCCGGTTTATCAATCTTTGGTTAAGCTCCAGTTAGTCTAACGGATAGTTAAATTCTATATCAATCGTTGTGAGAACAATATTATCCATGGAGAATATCTGCCAGATAACTAAGTGCAACTTTAACTGGACATTGATAAACCGTCCCTAAGCCTAGACGAACTGCGTCCGTCGGTACCGGGTTCGATCCCCGGTCACAGCCTTGCTTGTTGTGCGTGTTAAAAGTCGGCAGATGAGTCCACACTGACAAAAATAAGAGGTTGAAACAACAACAAAAATATTAATTTAACTTTTTATGCACTTTAAATACAAGCATTGGTTTTTGCACGTTTACTTAACCATCTAAAAATATCAAATTGTATTGTTTAATTGAACAACAAATAGCAAATGAACAAAATGAGAATATTAGTTCTAATCTGCTAATCTGGTTAATTTAACATTCTTAATATGTCGGAGTAATACTCTGCGCGTCAAAATTAATTTTGTTTTGGATGCCAACCTTTAAGGAACGTTACTTTTATATTTTTAGAATGTTAACCCAACCGTTTTGGAATATTAGCGAAATTTACCTTAACATCTTAAGAATGTTAGCACAACCATTTTTGAAATATGGATTTCGAAAATGGTTGTGCTAACATTCTTAAGATGTTAAGGTAAATTTCGCTAATATTTCAAAACGGTTGGGTTAACATTCTAAAAATATAAAAGTAACGTTCCTTAAAGGTTGGCATCCAAAACAAAATTATATATCAAGAGAAAGAATTGAACCTTCACCTCGCCAAAGTTTTTGTTTTGTTTGCGTTCCACCTACTTCAAATACCGACAGACAGCTGTTTCGAACTATATTTGGGGTCTTATCAGTGTCGGGCAATTTGGTGTAGTGATACTGTTAAAATATGTTGCATTTATATTTTGAATTTGTGTGTTGATTGTTTTCACATCTGCTTTAAGTTTTAACTGCAAAAGAGACATTTTGGGTGGTCACTTTCTTTGAATGTTTAACATATGGTTTTTGTCACATATTACTAGTGTAAGCAATACTTTAGGGTATATCTTTAAAGTTAGTTGATTGTATATCGTCGGCACAGCAAGTTGCTTTTTAACTTTGTTCTACATTTTCGTTTCTGTACTTTTACACTTTTATTTGTTATAATAAACATACATTGATTTCGCTCTGAGCTAGTTGAATTATTTATTTATTCCAATAAACATTTAACAGGTTATGGGCCCAGCACGCTTCCACTGCGTAAATCATTTTATTTTGTTAAACAAAGAATAGTGCTGTCTCTAATTTAGCTAACGTCGCGCGCGACTTACTGTTCAGCAACAGTTTACAGTTAGTGCAGTGTTTTTTGTGTGTAACAGTGCAAAGTAAGTAATTTTTTTAATCATGGCTGACCGAGAAGTTTTAGAGTTGACAAAACTTGATGGAACCAATTATTCTATGTGGAATTTTGGTGTCCGGTTTCTTTTACAAGCAAACGAGCTAACAGGTCTTGTCAATGGTGAGAAAACTGAACCTGATAAAGCAACTAAGCCCGACGCAAGCAGCGTTGATTCTACTAAGCTCGGTGAAGAGAGTTTTACATCCAAATTTGATCAACTGCAGCACCCCAAAAGAAATTTGGGATAAACTCCGAGATTTATATGGAGATACAAGTGTTGATGCGAAACAAAACGCCTGGGAACAGTTTTACGCGTTTCGAATGAACGATGGTGAGTCTGTTGCTATTCAATTAGAAAAACTTGAAAGCATATGCAAAAGACTTAAAGATGCGGATGAAAAACCTTCGGAAACAGCAATAGTTTCTAAGATATTAAGTTGCCTACCCAGCAGATTTTCTGTGTTTCGCATTGCTTGGGATTGCACGCCTGAAGCGGAACGAAAGAAATCACAGCTTATAGCAAGACTACTTAAAGAAGATAAGCGAATTTCAGAAAATAAAGAGAATGTGTCAGCTCTTGCTCTTCAGGTACATCGGACGTCTTTGAGTAGTGCTCCAAAGAATTCTTGCAAAACAAAACAGAAGCGGTACATGCAAGATCTGAAAAACCGTACCAAGTGCGCGTATTGCAAAGAAAAAGGCCATTGGATCCGCGAGTGTCCTAAAAAAAAGAACGATAATAAAGACATTAAAAGTGCGTCAGCATACGTCGGTGATGTCGCAGCAAATGTTTCGGACAATTTCTTGGACGATAGTGATGTGTGGATAGCTGATTCCGGTGCCAGCATGCATATGACTTTTAAAAAGGAATACTTCATACATCTGGATTTACTACCGCAGCCATATTATGTTAGAGTTGCTGATAATAGGAAATTGGCAGCAACAGGTAAGGGCACTATACTAATAGTGGAAACTATACAAGGCCGTTTACAAGAGCGCGAATTAAAATACGTTCTTTTAGTTCCCGAGCTAAAAAGAAATTTGTTTTCGGTCGGTACCATAAGCGATAAAAACTTTTCATTCCATGTTTATAAAGACAAGTGTGAAATACGTGATCGCGACGGAAACCTATCGTCCATAGGTGTCCGTTATAAAAATTTATTTCGTATGCTGTTTAAAGTGAAGATCACTCTTGAATGTAACTCAGCTGAAGTTACAACGAACACTTTAAAACTGTGGCATGAGCGAATGGTGCATGTAAATGTTCGCGCGGTTCAAAATACATGTCGACAGCTCAATGTATTGGACCAGAAATGTGAAAAAATTAACTTTTTTTGTGAATCGTGTGTCGCGGGTAAGCAATCGCGAAAAACACATACAAGCACGAACAATCCGTGTTGTTTTGGACCAGGTGAAAAGATCCACACCGACGTTTGTGGACCTATAAATATTGAGTCACCTCGCGGTACAAAATATTTCTTATTGTTTAAAGACGAATGCACGTCGTTTCGAAAAGTTTATTTTTTGCGTCACAAGTCTGAAGTCTTTGGAAGATTTAAAGAATTTGAAGCATTTGTTTTAAATCAGCTTAAAACTAATATAAGGGTACTACGATCGGACAATGGGACAGAATACACATCCAAAGAGTTTAGCGACTATCTTCGTAAACAAGGAATTGTACATGAATTTTCCTCCCCGTAGATTCATGAACAAAATGGCAGAGCTGAGCGCGAAATAAGAACAATAACAGAAACTGCAACATCTATTTTATTAGCAAGAAACATAGATCATAAATTGTGGCCGGAGGCTATTAACACTGTCTGTTATGTTCTTAATAGGGTCATTTTACAACCTTCTGAAAATACAACCCCCTTTGAGAAATGGTTTGGTTTTAAACCGCAGGTAAAACACTTGAAAATATTTGGGTCACTGGCGTACCTAAATATACCAAAACAAAAACGACATAAATTTGATCCAAAATCCCGAAAAGTGTTTTTTGTTGGTTACGAGGGTGAGTCAACAAATTATCGATTGTGGGATAATAGCACAAATAAAATTTACATTAGCAGCGATGTAGATTTTAATGAGAATGAAAGCGTTACTTTAAAAAATCCAGGTAGTTTTAATATTGATTTTAATTCTGTAGAAGAGAACGACCAGCCTGCTGAAACTGTAAATATTCCTGTTACGCAACCCTAGCTAAAAGCAACAGAGGAAGGAGGAGAGGCCGAGCATAGAAATTTGCGTAACAGGGATTTGATTAAAGTGCCTGATAGGTACGGTGTACCTGTGGCTTATTATACTGAAGCAATACCTACCACTTATCAAGAAGCCATAACTAGTGATAAAGCAGATAAATGGAAAAAAGCCATGGATGAAGAGATGGAAGCACTTCAAGAGAATCATACATGGAGTTTATCGCTGCTTCCCCAAGGGAAACGTGCAATTG